TGTGACAACCACCTCCTTGATTAATTAAGCTAATTAGGTGATTTGCATTGAGCATGTGATTATGTGTTAATTATGAATTATGTGCCATGTGTGATATAGAGATGGTATTGTTATTGTGAACAAATAGGTAGAGCTATGAATTGAGCCTGTCTGATTCAGTAATTTTAACAAGTTGGAATTAAATATTGGGATAGGCAATTTGAGCCTAATTCACATTAGTATAATTAAAATTTATTTGACTTAAGTCATAAATGATGAGGATTAATTTAATTTGAGTGAATTTGATTTAAATTAGTTAATTTGATTTATTAGCCTATTTAATTTAAGCCTAATGTTTGTATAATTCAAGAACTAGCATTTGACTCATCAATTGAATATAGAAGGTAGTGGGGCTTATGTTGATTGGAGTCATCCACGTAGAGAGAGGGAGAGCACCTTTAGAGTGGGAATTCAACTAAGAGGAAGAAGAAAGTGAAGAGAAGTTTAGGAAGGACATTGAAGATAAAAATTAGCTCTTTACAATTCATCAATTTAAGGCAAGACTTTCATTCAAATTTTTTGAAATTGAAACTACTACACTCATCATCTTCTAAGATATAAGGTTAATTAGGATGAATTCATGGTTAATTAGGAGTTTTTTTTTTTGTTGGAATTGACAAATTAGAACATGCAAGCTAGTTTAGAAAAGAATTGAGGGAGTTTTTTCTCAAATTCAACATACATGGCATGAATTTATGACATTTTGTTTAGATACATATTTTCTTGCATGAACTTCATGAATTCTACAAGTTGCAAAGAGCTTTCTGTTAACATAAATTTCAGAACATGAAATTTCATGTTTCGGATCATCTACCATGTATATCATCAAGAAATCAAAACAAAATGACATACCTGAATCCATCGATGAATAGTTAAACGGAAGCGTCTGATTGTCAATAAAACCTTGATATTGACTATTTTCTTGCATGAACTTCATGAATTCTACAAGTTGCAAAGAGCTTTCCTCATAATTTTTCAATTGAACTTTTGAAACACTTGGTTTATGGTTTTATCATGCCTTTGAAGTCTTTGACCAACTAATTGGAAGAAATAGCTTAGATTATGGACATGCATTGTTTTATTCTTGTTCATACACATCATTCCTTGAAGGAGTTTTCAAAATTGTAGAGGAAACTTCACAGATTTTGGATTGGAATTCATGAATATATATATTTTGGTGGTGTTATGCTTTAATTCAAGATTTTGTTGTTTTATTGGAAAATTTTGGTTTTTGATGTAAGATTTAATTCATGTTTGATGTCGGAAAACCTGAATTCAAGGTTTTTATGATGGAATTTACAGTTGGAATTTATGAGATTGAAGTTTTAATTTCAAAACCTTGAGTTCCAAAACTTGGAAAACTTTTTGGACTGTTTCAACACAGACCCCTCGAGCGGCCTGGGTCACCGCTCGAGTGGCTAGCTCTCCTTTGCAACATGTATACTACACGCTCGAATGGCTTGGACCATCGCTCGAGTGACCAACCCCCTATTCTTGCATGCATTCTGCACGTTCATGTGTCCGTGGCCACCGCACGAGCGGCCAGGCCACCGCACGTGTGGCCATCAAGGTAGACTCGATTTTTGTTTTCATTTCATTTTTCCAACTTTCGGGCTTCTTTCAACATGGTTTTCGCATATAGTTGCATTCATGTGTATTTTTGGCATGAAAGAATATTAGAAACAAGAAGTTATAACCGAACGGTTAAGTAATGAATAGAAACCGAATGAGTGAATGGGTTTCAGTTACCCTATTTCACCTGTAATTTTTACAATAAGTAATGCTATCCTCTACCAATAGCCAAAATAGATATTTCTATTTAATATATTCCAAAATTGAAAATATAACAAATGAGAGTATAACCAACCACTTCCACAACATTTCCACAACAAAAATAGCTTTATCTCAACATTTCCTCAAAAGAAATCCTATTTATTTCCATATGGTTCAAAACCATGATTTCCACAACCAAACAACAACATAGTTCTCATTCCTCCACCTTGAACACAAATCAAGGTTTTTGGTAAAAAGGTTTGGGGTTTCTCATTCTTTTCAAAACTAACTCATCAATTACCAACACAATTCATTATTTTGAATACAAAAAAGAAGTTTTAAGAAAACCTTATGAAAACCCTTTCTTGAGATATCAAAACACAACATGAATCCAAATCCCCAATCTATCAAAGTGCTACTCTAATAAAGTAACACATAATGAAGCTAAATAACATACAAAATATTAAAAAGATTCCTACCTCAAAAGCAGAAGAAAAGAGAAACAAAACCCTAAAATTGACAGAGACGAAAGCCCAAACTTTCCAAATTAAAACTGTCCTCTCTTCGAGCTCTACCTTTAATTCCAACACTACGGTGGATAAATTCATGGATTGTAGTAGATCAAAAGTTTTAGGCAATAAATTTAGAGAGATTTGATAAAAATTGGGTTCAAACACTTTATAGAGAGAGAGAAATCAAAAAAGTGGGAAAAAAGATATTTTCTCGTAGCTTTGTACAAACAGGTCGCTCGAGTGAACAAAATACCACTCGACCATCAGACACAAGATCTCACTCGAGCGACCAAAACTGGGCTCGAGTGAAGAAACCAAACTCCCAGAAGATCAACCTCGCAGAACAAACTGCTCAAGTGAATAAAACACCACTCGAGCAAAGAATGCCCTACTCTTAGAAGTTCAGACTATAAACTTAGAAACTAGGAGAAACGAAAGACCACTCAAGTGACCAACCCACCGCTTAATCGACCAGCCCATCGCTCAAGCGAACCCCAGGTCAAACAACCAAAATCTTCCCAAAAAATCCAAAATCCCACCTATTTCAATGTAACTCAAACAAACAAACCTCAAAACTCAAATCAGTGATAATATTGGACTAGGATAGATATCAACTACACTAACATGTATAAAATCCATACAAAAGAGTACAAAAAGATCAGGTCTAAACTCTGGCTGCTATAATAACTATATCTATATCTATAATATAATATATAAAGAGCTTGTGTATTGAACAGTAACATTTTCGTCCCTTGTAGAATTACATATTTGCTCTTTATTTTGGCTTTCAACCTCATTTGCTGAAGATAGTATAAGTGGAATTTTTCTTTATGTGCTAACAAAGAGATATATGGGAAATTCTATTTCTACACACTTAATTGCCTCAGTGCACATCTTCTCTCAGTACACACACTTATTAATTCGATTATTAATTAATTTTCTCAACCTACACACTAAAAATTACAATTATACCCTTCACTCATAATCATTGTACACATACCACTCAACTCTCCTTTCCACACACTTGTTGAATGACCCTGCTTTCAAATTTGTAGACCTATTGTAGACCCACGCGAAGACCATTCAAGACCACAGTGTGAAGTGAAGTGAAATGAAGACAAAGTCCTCCATTGAAGACCCTATTGAACCTTCATTAAAAACACCATTGAAAACCCTCCAAAATATTTTTGAAGATGAGGCATCTTTCTATTTTGTTATTATATTTATTCTTTTCATATCTCTATGTACTCCATTGCCATAAAACCCTCGTTTTTTTTAAATTTTATATGTTTTTCAGTTTGGGGATTTCGGCACTGGAATTCCAAAATTATACATTTAATTCGAAACTTAACTTCCGAATAAAAGTGATTAGTTCAACAAATTTATTCCAAAAAAAATCAATTGATGTTTGAATATAATGAAATAATTCGGTACTAGTTGTCCGACTGAAAACAACGAAAGGAAAAAAAAAAAGTTATGCACAAAAAAACTAACATTTTCATCACTAATAGAGTATAAATCTAAAGATTAAAGCAAATGAGAGTTGTTATGAAAGTATTGCTTTGCAAGTAATAGAGGAGTATAGAGTGTGTAGCAAGCAAAACGACAATAATGGAAAAACTAGGGAAATTCTATTTCTACACACCTAATTATCTCAGGGCATATATTTTCTCAATACACACACCTATTAATTTGATTATCAATTAATTTTCTCAATTCACACACTTAAAATTACAATTACACCCTTCCCTCATAACTATTGTACACACACCACTAACCCTCTTTCCACACACTTTTGATTGACCGTACTTCCATATTGACCCACCCACGCCCTTGAAGACTTTGGTCTGAAATTTTCTCTATTGAAGACTTGCATAGATGACCTCCATTGAAGACCATTGTAAATCCTCCAAAATAGTGTTGAAGGTAAGAAATCTTTCCTTTTTCTTATTACATTTATCATTTTGTTATTACATTTATCATTTTCGGATCTATATGCACTCCATTGGCATAAAACCTTCAATTTCGGTCTTGTGAGTGACGGTTTTGGGCTTTCAGCACTGGGTTTCTAAAACAATAGAGTGAATTCGGAACATAACTTCCAAATAAATTGTATTATTTCGACAAATTACTTTCGGGAAAAAAAATAAATCTCGATTATTAGTTTCCAAAGTTGATGAATTTCTTCAGCTCTGTAGTTCCAAAATGATGCCATATTTTCAACAGTTTAATTCCGAAAATTGTGTGTTGTTTCGGCACTAAAGTTCCAAATGGATTTTTTTATATATTATATATATATATATATATTTGGACTACATAGGCCACCAAGATTGGTTTTACCTTAGGTTCTTTTCCAACAACATTATTTTATGGGTATGTTTATGTATTTATTTTTTTTGCGAACATCAATACATAACAATAGAAAAGAAAATATGTGCAATACTAGTGTTTCCACATTATATTGTTAACACACGTAGTTGTCATTTCTATATTGGTTAATGACTTCAATTTGATGATTTGATTGTGTATTTGTTAGTGTTTTCACTATAAATGCTATATTCGGTTGATGAGAATAATTTGCCTTATGCAGATAGATGCGGGTCCCAGTCAACGTCGGTCAGTAACAACTTCGAACAGAAGACTCCGTGAATTAGAGAATACTGAACGTAGACGTGGACGTGGACGCGGACGTGGACGTGCTCGAGTGCATGATGATGATGCATACATTGCCATGGATGATGATCTTATACATGATGCACTAGTTATGGATGATATTGCTATGGATGATGACCCCTACTGGTAATGATGCTGACATTGTTGATGAAGATATCCTTACTTAGCCATTTCCAGGAGGGCCAACTGATTCATCAATCCTTAAAAGTTTTAAAAGTCATGTTGCCACAGCTTTTTGGAATGGTGCTAATGAAATGGGGCCCTTGAAGTGTCATAATCATTCATCTAAGATTCGTTCATGGCCATGGTGGGAACAAGGCAACAACGGTACATTTGTACACATTATGGAGATGTCAGGACTTGCACACTTAGCTCGTTGCACGTACTGCTTTGTCAACAAAATTGTAGTGTCCAGTTTTGTTGAGAGATGGCAACTGGAGACAAACACCTTCCATTTGACTGTTAGAGAGATGACTATCACATTGGATGATGTCGCCACTATCATGGGGCTTTCCATTGTAGGCAAATCTATTAGCGTACGTAAGTTGTCAGAAAGGCGGGCTGTTGCATTAGTAGTTAATACCTTAGAAATTGATGAGCAAAAGGTCAGACATGAGATGTCTAGTGCTGGAAGCAATTCAGTGAGGCTTGAGTGGTTGAGGGCACACTTTCATAATGTTTCAGACAATGATTCAATGGAAAGAATTGCATGTGCAGGTAGAGCATACTTGCTATTTTTGTTGGGTTATACACTTTTCAGTGACAAGACTGGTACTAGGGTCTATATTGTTTATTTGAGTTTGTTGCTTGACTTGACGACCGTATCTTCATATGCATGTGGTGCTGTTGCATTGGCATACTTATATAGACAGTTGGGGTACGCTAGCAGGTCCGGTGTGAAACAAATAGCCGGTTACATGACACTCCTTGAGGGATGGATTTACGAGCACTTTCGTGGATTCCAACCACACTTGAATATGAATTACACTCAACACATGCCACATTTTTACCATTGGACTTCTCAGAGAGAGTCTGATGAAGAGACACAGTTGTAGGTTTTTCAAGAGGAGCTTGATAGGTTGGGTGTACACAATGTAAGTTAAAAAGTCCTTCAAAATTTGAAACTCTGTTTCATACAAAATTTACAGTTATTATATCATACTATTGTTATTGTTTGTAGGTTATTTGGGACCTGTATTAGAGTTGCAGAGATGTCCATCCGTGTCACCCAGTTACATTTATCATAGTTGCCTAAAGTGTTTGGAAGTAGTTGAACCATATCACCCTGATAGAGTTTTGAGACAATTTGGCGGAGTACAGACAATCCCTAATCCACTACTTGGCCCTATGCGTGCTTCTCGAGGAGCCACAGCTCCATGCTACAATGTTATGTATGCATACTTGGACATCATTTGGGAGGCATGGGACAACCATGTGTTATCTAATCAGATGAGGAGTTCACCGGTATGGCAACCTTGGGATTGTGTTCCTGGTTACATGGATTGGTACCAATCTATTACCCATATGTATGTTTAAAACCCAGCGTGTCGTTCTCAAGTGGATCCAAATATTCATCATTATCAGTATCCTAGCCAAGACGCACAGGTATTCTGTTTTTTATTTACATTACAAATTATTTATGTAAACTGTTATAGATTTGTATATAATTTTGTATTTGTTCTCATAATGCAGCGTATGTCACAGATATATCAGATTACTCATCCTTTCGTAGAGGCTCGTTATGAGGGCAGTGTTCAACATCTTGATAGGCTTTACTACGCAATTGATGCATTTGAACAGCTTCTTCAAGATCAGCACATTGGTGAAGCTGCACCCAGGACATCCGCTCAGGGTCGGTCTGCACCTAGCTCTTCTGCTACACATCGTTTTGGAGAACATTACACTCACCAGTCACGTAGCTAATAGTAGTTCATAATGTCACATTCGGTATTTTGTGATGGTGTTGGTGTATCATTTTGGAGACGAATATTATTATTATGTTTGGATTATGTACTTTTTGGATACTTTGGTGGATTTAGTAGTAGGTATTTATCAGTGGTACTCTTTAATATTATTACTACTCTTTGGATTATGTACAAGGAGATATGTATTTTGTGATGACGTGAATGGATTGAACTACTAGTTAATATTTTTATTTCTTTTTAGATACTTGTTGGTTAATATTATTACTAGTTAATAGTAGTTGTACTTTGTTAATATTATTTTCATTATGTTTTTGTGTTCAGACAATGTAAAAATAATATGATATCTATAGCGATCCCGGTTTTCCCTTTTCGTACTTGTTGTATTCCGGACTTTGGTTTCGTGGAGTTGGTGGTTGTATATCTTGTTGTCATCCTTTAATTCCTTATGTTTGAGTTTTAGGATGTGTTGGGCGTGTTTCGAACAGGTTGGTTGAGCTTTAGTCCCATTCCTTGTTGCCCAGATTTTTGGTGGTACGCTTGAGCGGGTACCTTTGCACTCGAGCGGAATTTGGTTTTTGGCTGTACACTCGAGCGGGACTTATTGTGCTCGAGCGGGGTTTACACACTCCCAGTATTTCGTGTCCTTGCAAAACTTCTGTAGGTGTGTTTTCTACGCTCGAACGGATTTCCTTACGCTCGAGCGGTAGCGCTCGAGGGGGCCTTTTGGCGCTCGAGCGGGTAGTTCTTTTTCTGTAAAGTTCTGGGAGATAAAAATCTACGCTCGAGCGTACTGGTTTTTCGCGCTCGAGCGGATGTATTTTATTCTTGTGTCTTGACGCTCGAGCGGGCCTTCTTGAGCTCGAGCATGTCCGGATTTTTGTGCTTTACGCTCAAGCGTTCTATTCTCCGCTCGAGCGGGAATGTCGTATATCAGTTGGCAGCTAGGCATTTTTGAATAGCGGGTAGTTCTTTTTCTGTAAAGTTCTGGGAGATAAAAATCTACGCTCGAGCGTACTGGTTTTTCGCGCTCGAGTGGATGTATTTTATTCTTATGTCTTGACACTCGAGCGGGCCTTTTTGAGCTCGAGCGTGTCCGGATTTTTGTGCTTTACGCTCGAGCGTTCTATTCTCCGCTCGAGCGGGAATGTCGTATATCAGTTGGTAGCTAGGCATTTTTGAATCACTTTTTACACTCACACTCTCTCTCTTACTTTCTAAAAACCGATTTTGAGAGCTCCTCTCTCTAGAAAATACCTTATCTCTAGGGATTGATCTAGTTGGAGTGTTCTCCTATCCTTCAGCCTTTGTAAAAAGTGTGTTGATCGTTAAGGGCTTCGTTTTGATCCGAAACGTTTGGAGTTTGGAGCACTTTGGTTTTGGTCTTCTTCTCCATTTGAGCTTTGAATCTGAGGTAGGGATTCTCCTTGTTCTTTTACAATGCTTCGTCTATAGATAGACATGTGGTAGTTTTGTATTGCATGAAAATCATATCCATGCTGGGTTTGTTTGAAGATCATAAGGGTGAATCTAGGGTTGGTTGTTTGGAAATGGGTTTGTCATCATTGATAGTTCTTTGGGCTAATTGGAGTGTTAATTAGCATGTTATTGTTGAAAGGAGAGAAAACCCTAGTTTATATTTGATTTGGTAAATTAAAAGAGGGGTTTTGTTCTTTGGGCCAATACTTATGTATTTTGGGTCTCTAATGGGGTTATTGTGGTTTGTGGTTGATATTTGAGCCTTTTTGGTCAATATTGAAAAAGGGGGAGAAAAGCCCTAGTGTAATGTTATGAATTAAATTGCATAATTGGATCGGAAAGGATATGAAAGAATGGCATTGGGTTTTTATTAAATGAAAGGAATAGTATTGTTTTCTTTATGAAATGGGAAGAAAAGTGTTTTTGGAATAAGTAATGGAACATGTTGATTTTGAAAATGGGAGAATAAGCATGAGTGTTGAATACACATTTTTTGGGGAATTTAATTTGTAATTATCATACCTGTGGCATTGTTGGGTTTAAGATCTCACGATAGTTGAGTCTTTTAATAGATGTACTGAACGCATGCATCTAGAGGTTTTGTCCTTGGTCATCGGTGGAGGATGACACTGTTGAATTGAATGGTTGTGTATGCATTACATCTGTGTCAATTGAACATTATATGTAATGAAGTGTTAGAAAGCATTCGTAATATTGAGATGATTGGTATCATATACCGCGCTTATAATGAGGGGTACCACTACCTTCCAGCTTGTGTCTGGAGAATGTGGACAAGGTACCATTACCTTCCAGCTTGTGTCTGGAGAATGTGGATTAGACGCCGTTACCTTTCAGCTTGTGTCTGAGGAACTTGACTTATCATTTGTTGTAGCAATTGTATCCTTGGCTTACTGTGTATATAGCCAGTAGAGCAGAGTTTTATTGTTGTTGTCTCAATGTATCTGAGTATATTATGGGTTGCGATGGTTATAGTATTGGAGGGCTGAGTTGCCTCATTTGTCGATTATACATATTGATGATTGTTATCTCCCTTTATTTAAAGGCATGCATGTATGGTTATTAATGTATTGAGAACAAACCAAAATGCCATTTCAGGATTTGGAAAGTGTGAAGGAAATCGAGTATTTTAAACATATGTTTTGAAAAAAAGGCACATCTATTGTAAGTATGGAATAATGGAAGAAAGTGGTGGGCTTAGTGAAATTATTTCCTAAGAAGTGTTAATGTTGTGAAAGTTTGCGAACAAGGGGTAATGAAAAGGAAAGAAAGATGAATCGCTTATAGCGTTGAATGAAATGGCTGTTTTCAAGAAAATATCATACTTATGTATATTTTGTATAAACTGCCACATTACTATTCTAGTATGAGAATTGGGTATCATGATCATAGCTATCTGTAGTTGTTATTGTTGAGGATCATGTTGAGATCCCTACTGGCTATATGTTCATCCACGTTGTTGAATCTTTTTCAGGTGTTTGCAGGATGTGCTACAAGATTGGATCTCCTTATTTTGGCCACAGGGCCTATTTTGTGTTGGCGGAATGCCATATATGTAAAAGGGTTACACCCTTCTTCTTGAATCTTAAATGATGTAAGCCCAAGGGCAATTTATTTAAATATGTTCATGTTGTATTTACTTTGCATATGAATGAGAGAATTGCTATTCACTTCTACGAGTTGAACGTATGAGTTTGTTTCCGCATGTTATCTCTGAAATTAAATTAAGTTAATGAATTTGGTAATACCTCGAGTAAATAAACGTGGGGCGTGACAAATTGGTATCAGAGCGAGCCGGGTTTGAATACTTTGGGCTCGTGGGAAGTGGTTTTTACCATAGTAGGTTTACTACGTATGGTGAGGACATTGCATATAGTTAACATGAACATTAGGACTTGTGTGTTGCATTTATGTGAGCACGGGATTAAGTTTCCTGGATAGTATTCATAGCCGGCGAACTTGCTTTGAGGTCCTCTTGGAAACACGCCTGATCAACGTGGTTTCTGGTAGGAGTTCCTTGAGAGTTCCGGGATGAGTGGCTATCTTTGTGGATTTGATCCGGTTATGTGTTTAAATGTTTAGATGTTTATATGCAATCGTAGTGTATGTTTTGTGACTAAGTGTGTCTTGCAACCTATTAGTAGTAGTGTGTGCCTCGGGGAAGGCTATTGCGTTGTGCACTAAGTGTGGTTGTGTTTTTGGATTTTATAGGATGTCTACACGAGGGAGTAGAGGTCGGATGAGTAGTAGGAGTGCCAGGAGAGGCACAGCGGTTCCTTTAGCAATCGCCATTGCAGCATCGACTGTCGGCGAGGACGTCGCACGTGAGATTGTGAGAGCAGTGCAGGACGCCCTAGCTCGCACTGAGGGCGGTAGCGGGCGTGCTCTCAAGCTTACTAAGGAGTTTTTTCGCTCCGACCCACCAGAGTTTGCCGGGGAGACTAAACCGTTGGAGGCGGAGAGTTGGTTAGAGCAGATTACCAAGACTCTTGATATGCTCAGAGTCGAAGATGAAGAGTTGAGGGTTTCTTTGGCGACTTTTCAATTGAAGGGTGATGCAAGTTATTGGTGGAAGTATGCTAAGAATACTGTAGGTAGCACGTGGGTTGCTTTTACTGAGGCCTTTTGGACCAAGTATTTCCCTCCTTCTGCTCGGGAAAGGTTGAGGGATCAGTTTATTGAGTTGCATCAGGATGATACCCCTGTGGCACAGTTTGAGATGCGATTTTCCAGTCTGTCGAGGTTTGCTCCAGAGTTGGTGGCAACTGGGGAGCGTCGTTGTTATGAGTTTGAAAGCCGGTTGTGTTTCAGTATTCGGGAGAAAGTAGCTGGATCCTTTTGGAAGGGTTACTATACTCTAGTCAAGGCGGCGGCCCATGTGGAGGCCATGGTTGTGAAGGATGGTCAGGATGGGGAGGAGGCCATTTCGGTAACTTCTACGGTTCATAAGTACTCTAGATCCAGTAAGAGGTGGAGGCGAAAGTATGCTCACAGTCCCAGGCTAAATCTCTTTCTTCGTCAGGAGTTTTAGACTCTTCTGTTGGGAGGCCCAGTGAGGTTCAGGTTTCAGACCAGTCTCAGAGTAGGGGGTCTGCTGGTTGTTTTGGTTGTGGTCAGTTGGGCCATGTTAAGCGTTTATGTCCTTTGCGTGTGAATTCTTCGGGTGTTTCAAAACCCAGTCAGACTCAGTTGTACCCGTCTAGTCAGGGACATTATAGGTACCAGAAACGGGCAGGCCAGGCTTCGAGGGCCTCGCGAGGGGCAACTTATTAGCTATCCCTGTAGTATTACCTTAGAGAGGGACTTTTTTATTGTTTGACCGGTGATGTATTAGATGAATTATTTTGTTGTTAACCAGTGTATTGTTGGGTGCTGAGGCACCAAGTTTATGTATCACATATGTATGCATATTGTTGATTGTTTAATCCTTATGTAATGGGGGCATGCATGGGATTTCGAACCCTCTCTTATATTTTATTTTGAGAAGTTGTTGATGGGATCAATGATCCTAGTGTTATTGCTTGCTTGGTACTGAATTATGAATTAGTTATGTGACAGCCTGTGAGCCTTGTTCACTTTTAATGTTGTTTGTTGAGAACGGGGAATTCGTGGGCGAATGTGATTGATGTGATGGTTTCGAGGGTGCGTGGTACTGGCAAGGTTTTGTGAGAATGTTTGAGGGGATGTGAGAATTGTATCTCGGGTTAGTAGGAATGG